TGTTATAGGGACTACTGAACAGACATTTGGAAATTGATTTTAAAATGCAAAGTATTGAAACTAAAAATAAATCTCCATAAACTTTTGCATTTTTACAACACTATAAGTGTCCCCCATCAGGTAATGAAAAGTTCTACACACACTTGTGGTCTTCATGCTCACTTGAACACTTGGCCTAAATACAGGAAAGACGTCATATAAGTAGTCAAGTGTAAAGACCGCAAGTGTGGGTATTTGAACAGGGCAGTAGTCATGCTTCATTGTGCACTCGATAATAAGGGCCTAAACTATGGTTTTGGACACCTCTACAAATGGCTGTCCCCTCAAATATTTCACTAGATAAGGGAATAATTATGTATTAATTAATACATTGATTTATTCATTTTTATTATTAATAAAATAACAGCTAGAACATGATTAAAAAAGACAGATTACATAGTTTATATATATATATATATATATAGGTTTCATTTATTTGATTTATTTTAATGCACCCAAATGACTTAATCATTTAAAGCAGTACTTCTGAAGCCCACACGTTTTGGATGTTTCTCTTATCATACACCCATTTTGGGCCTTGCAGTCTCTACCAATCTGCTGATGAGTTTAATGAGGTATGTTTCCAGCAACACAGAACTTTCCCCTAACATTCTTTTATGGTTCCCATTTGGTTATTTTTAGCATTCTGGAAACCAAAAATCATTAGCTGGGCTAGATGAAAGAGAAATCCAAAATGTGCAGGCTTGAGAAGCACTGATTTAACAATGAATTTGATCTCTAATCAATTTTATTTTAAATAACATTTTAGGATAAAAAGATGAAATTGCAACCAGATGTGAAGCCTTTCACCATTTTAACCACAGATAGCCTACAACTACAAACTGCCACACCTGCAACAAAAGTTCATGCATGAGATGTTTGTCCATCAAGTGATCACACCATCATTGTGAGGAAATCAGACCACAGCAGGTTTCTGTTTGACTTCATGTTTCATGTTGAGCTGCTCGTATCACACCTCAGTAACACCTACAATGAGGGATGGGAAATAAATTTACCTGTTTTTTTCATTCACTCTTACACTATCCGTTTACTATTAGACTCTTCTTTTACTTATTTAATAGTTAGACAGCTACCTTAAAAACAATCTTGAATTATAAAAATAATGAGTGTTTTTACTTTGAGAACATTTAAAGTCCTAATAAGAGCCAGAAGAGCATTTATATGTAACTATGTAACATACAGATAATGTGCGTTCATTAGGAGAGTCAAACTCTGTAGAGAGAGGATTCACACCATGTGTTTTCAGCAGATGGTCTTTTTTTAGATCAGACAAAATGTTTTACATGCTTATTTTGTTCTGTTTGTGCAGGAGGCGTCTGATTGGTGAGTTACAAAAGCATTTTTACTGCTTCATTTCTTCTGTTTTAGAACATATACTGTTGCTTTGCATTTGCTTCCCTTCAAACTGAGATTTATGTTGCTCATCTGTCTGTTTATTATGTGAACTTGTATCTTTTGTGTCTTTGATGCCGTTGATCAATTCACATTTAACTAATGCAAACTGATTTCAGGCTTTCTAAATCAACACAAACTGGGTTCAAACTCTTTTCATGTTCTTTAGGTGCGTCTGGTTCTGAGACAAATGGAACACAGTCAGTGTCAGTGATGGAGGGAGATTCTATCACTCTAAACTGCTTACTTCCTACTGAAATACGTGACGATGAAGACATACTGTGGACATTTGGAGCTGAAAAAACTCTCATAGCTAAAATCAGAAGAGAAGCTAAAATCTTCTCCACATTTGATGGTACTGATGGGAGATTCAGAAACAGACTGAAGCTGGACAATCAGACTGGATCTCTGACCATCACAAACATCACAACTCAACATGCTGGACAATATGAAGTACAGAGAAGTGGAGCGAAACTGTTATCAAAATTATTCAGTGTTTCTGTCTATGGTGAGTAGAGACATCATTTGTCCTTCAAATATTCTTACTTTATTTTACTGGAATCATTTGTATTATACAATTATGTAAGATATCAGATGTGAGATCACACACTAACTCTCATTATATTAAACATTTACTCAGCGCATTAAACCAAGCATCTTCTTCTTTTTCATTTTTATTTTCACGTTTTCCAGCTCATCTGCCTGTTCCTGTCATAAGAAGAAACTGTTCTTCATCATCAGGATCATCATATTGTTCACTGCTGTGTTCAGTGTTGAATGTGGGTCGTGTGACTCTCTCCTGGTACAAAGGAAACAGTTTATTTTCCAGCATCAGTGTATCTGATCTCAGTGTTGAATGTGGGTCATGTGACTCTCTCCTGGTACAAAGGAAACAGTTTATTGTCCAGCATCAGTGTGTCTGATCTCAGCATCAGTCTCTCTCTACCTCTGGAGGTGGAATATCAGGAGAAAAACACCTACAGCTGTGTGCTCAACAATTCCATCAGCAACCAGACTCAACATCTGGACATCAGCAAACTCTGTCACACATGTTCAGGTACAGCAGCGCTGATATATGTGTTTAGTTACTGACCTGTTCTCTGTCTTTTGTTGTAGATCAAACTGATGCATTCCCTTCTTTATGATTACAGCACTGGATGGACACATTACTTCACTAACCGTATCTCTGATAGTGTTGATCTCTGCTGCTTTTGCTGGACCTCTGTTGATTGTAGCCGCAGTCAGGATATTCTGCATCTGCAGGAAACACAGAAAAACTGATCAAGAAGGCAAGTGTTACAGTATTGAAGAAAGAACTGTAAGTAGCATTTGTAGTTTTTTGGGTTTTACCATTTCTGTGAATTAAATTAACATCACAACATACAATATGTATGTATAGCTGTATGACAATAGATGGTGCCATTAAGTTATATTTTATATTTTAAGATTTAATGCATCTTTGTATTATATATTATGCATATATATGATATATTATGCATATTTTTATTATAGTTGTTATTGCGACTGATAATGAAGCAGTTCAGTCTTGTGATAAAGGGATCATTTACGTTGATACGACATTCTACAAACAAAATAAACAGAAACGGGTAAGTGCATTTTTATGTGTCTTATTGTGCTTTATGATGATCTGACACACACATAATACAAATAAAAATAAAAAGACTATAGTAGTTTTTATTCTATTGATCTGACTGGTTCAGTAGATCAGTGGTAGAATTGGTGGGTTGTGACTTGTGACTATAAAAATGCGTAAGCCTAGTAAATCACACTGCTGCTGTTTTTCATACATTTTTTTCTGAATCTGAACTTTGCAATTACATTTTCAATGATTTAAAATTTAATTAAATCCCTTTTATTAAGAAATGTTGTTAATTTTTGGTTTTGTATCTTGTGTGCTGTTTTTTTCCAGACAGCTGCAGATGGGAATCACGTTGAGTATGCACCTATCTGCATAAGAACATGAAACTTTCATTTGGCATTTGAATTTAGTATGTGATCTCTGCATCTTTAGAAGTACTGGACAACTTCCAAGGTTTGGGATGGTTGAGAGTCCACACAGACACAATCTACTTGAACTTTACACAAATTCTGACACAAAAATGTAATAATTTACATACATGATATGGCTCACAGCATTCCCACTGGGAGTACCAGCTCAGTTTGAGAGTGTTGTGAGTTTGTTCCCTTAAATATTTAATCTGTTTCTTAACAGCATGTGTACAAGACCGCCTATTATCAAACATCGGCTGATGTGCATTTGTGAGCGCATGTTAGAGGGGAGAATAGCATGTGGTTGAAAGGCTTTTTCCACTGCGGCTAATGCAAAACTTACTGTTAGAGACTCTATCGATGATAGTGTTTGACAAATAATATACATTCTATGTATATGAAACATTACTGTGTGAATGGGGAATGTGCAAACATCATGTATTTTTTAAGTGAAACATTAAGAGGAATATTATAAGTGCATACACTTGCTGGCCTCACTTTTGTTTTTGAACCGGTTTTGTTTCCAAGGCGTCAACACAGAATAACAAGAGTCTGTTTGCCACGCTACTCGTGACTCCTTTAAAGGATTATTCGGCCAAAACTAGTCCAATAGTGGAGTATAAAAGTAGGCATAGTCCAATTCAGCGGACTCACTTCAGCAAGCGGCGAAGCATACCTGTGTTCCTCCCGTTGCTGACCGTTAACAATGTAACGACGAATAAACGTTCCTCATGATGGGCCTTTAGATAACACGCTTTTAATTGCTACAAACGGAACTGAAAATGTTTTGCACGCTACTTGTGACTTGCTTAATGGAGCAAATGCACTAGGCTACAACTATTTGTTGCTAATTGTTTTTCCTCAGAAGATGTGGTTTAAGAACAATAACCACTCTCTTAAAAATAAAGGTTCCAAAAGGGTGTGTTTGCAGTGATGCTATAGAAGAACCATTTTTGGTTCCCCAAAGAACCTTTCAGTGAACAGTTCCTAAAAGAACCATTTTGAAGAACATTTTTTTTTAAAAACTAAAGAACCTTTATTGACTATAAAGAACCTTTTTCTGCATTTGAAAGGTTCCATGGATGTTTAAAGTTCTTTATAGAACCATTGATGCCAATAAAGAACCTTTATTTTTAAGAGTGCATGGCTACTAAAAAAAGGTTTCTGCATTGAACGAGCTTTAAAAATGTATCAAAGGAACAATAGATTAAAAAAAAAATAGTACATTCTTTGAAAAGAAAATCTATTGTGCATAAACATGCTACTGCCCACACTGTTACTTCCCAAGGTTTGGGATGTTCTGGAATCTCCTGCTTGACACTGATGGCTTTTGAAGAGAATAATCTGTGTGTGAGCGATAGGGGGCCCTCAAAGGGTTCAGGCTGAGTACGGGTAAAAATGAATGGGTCAGTTCACATTTCAAGGATTTATTAAGTAAAAATTCATTGTTAGCATTTCAGGTCTACAATTAAGCAGAAATAACATCAATTACTTACAACCATTATTAAGAACAATTACGTATTTTAATATGAATAGTAAAAATATATATATTTTTTTTACAAGTAATGCCACAGAGTACACAAGACATCAGTATGAGGAAATTAGACATGCTGCTACTTACATCTTGTTTGTCCTTTTTTGTAACAAGAGCTTTATAATTAGCTTATGAAAAGATACAGTATTGGCTACAGAAGGTGCACACAGTGTAAAATACACAAACACAAACCAGTTTCCATATATACACTCAAAAAAAACAAAAAAACAATACAGATAAATACATTTAGACCACTTAACCTAATGATTGCTGTCAGGATGTGAAGAGACTTTCAACCAGCATAACAAAAAATGTTTCTGAAGACAATCAACTATTGCACCTTTAATTCATTTGAGTTGAGAGTACATTCCCGGCGCCTATTTATACTATAGTCGCACCGGTAGTGACGTCATGGCTGTCGCCGGCCAACGAGTTGGTGTTTTTTCAATGTATGCTTCAGACACGGGTCACGACGAGGCGTTCCCCATAGCGACCCCTAGAGGACGCAGTGTCTCGTTCCCTACTCAGGGAACCATGGTTACATAAGTAACCTGAGACGTTTTACTTGTGTAACAAGGAAGTGGATTTCCCCTTCCCATCATGCTTTGCACAGGGCTGGATAAGGAGCGTAAATGTTGAAATAAAATGTTCTTTTATTTTTATTAAGATGATAAAATTGGGTGACTTGTTAATGTTTAATGCTCTTTTATGTTTGTATTTAAAACAGTTTCTGGTATGTTAGTGTTTTGGGGGGTTACCATTGGTAAAGTGTAAAGCATGTGCTTGGGTTGAGGACCTGCTAACATGAATCAAAGTTGTTTTAATAATAAAAAAACAACTACTTTGGGCATGCCGTGGATGTAACAAAACTGTCTTATTGCAGGTTAATGCCTAAAGTTAAGAAAATCCAATGTATACTTTTTTGAGTGTAGAAGGTTTGTTTGCCTAATAATATATTTTCTAGTTAAATGTTTTAGTTTGAGTTCAACAAGCATAAAAAAATATCAATTCATCAATGTATCAATTTCATTTAAACTATATTTGATCAAATTGACTTGGCCCAACTCAATTACATTTCATCGCATGAATCAGTTTTTAGCTAATCAGCTTAGTGCAAATCCTGCCGTCAGTTAAATTGAGTTCATCCAATGAATTATTTTGTTTGAGTGTAGTAAGAGAACTTAACAGGTTTACAGCAGTTAAAAAAAAATAAAGAAAAAAAACCTTTTTACAGTTAAAATTACAATTACTTTTTTTTTACATTGTACCATACATGACACTGTTCGGCTGTGTAATTACAGGGCAGATGTTTGAATGTTTTAAGATGAATAGAGGACGTCCTTTGTACAGACAAGTTCTCTACACCACTATCCTATAAGAAAACATTCACAGAAGTTAAGAGAAATGAACACGACTGACGTTTCAGTTACACACACACACACATAATTTTGCAGTTAAAAATCCAGTCATCTTCCCTAAACAACTTGCACATTTAAAGGGGCAGTACTGTCCTAAACATTTAGTTATTAAAAATGTTGTAATGATGACTGAATGGAACCACACCACACATGCACATACAGAAAACACAACCAGAAATTCTCACCTGTTACAGCTGCAACGACCAGCACAACTCCAACACATACACCTGCTATAACAAGAAACTCAATCAAACCTGTCATGGGGAAAAAAAAAAAAAAGTCATTATTACTAGAAACCACCAGCACAACACCAACACATACTCCTCCTATACCGAATACATACACAATCCAACCTGGAATGAAAAACATAGTCATTATTACTAGAGATCGACAATTAATTTTTTTTTTTAGATATCTAAAAATATTTACACCTTTCCACCTTCATCAGTTACATGATATTAAGTGAACAGAAATGGCGCCATCTAGTGTTTATTGCCTACAAAAGGCATTACAGTGCTAGTGGGTAAACTAATTGATATTATGCATAATGATAATAACTTTCGACCTGTGAACAACATGCATTTAGTGTGACTTTGTCAGTGATAGAGATCAGTGAGGCCACACGATTCAGACAGGCTACAGGGAAAACATAAATACACTGAATTATATTCTAAACCTTATCAAGGGAAATTATCTGAATGGCTGAATTATACTCACTCGTGACATTCTCACTAAGGCTCTTTTCACTGATAATTCTGATGCTGTGCTGACGGCGGATGCTGCTGCTGTTGGTGATGATCTCAAGACGATAAAGTCCAGAATCCGGTTCTCTGGTGTTCATGATGGTCAGAGATCCAGTCTGATGATCCACCTTCAGTCTGTCTCTGAATCTACCGTCAGCATCTTCAAACTCATCATCTGTAGAGATCTTGCTGGGATCTCTAGCGATTTCAGCGATGAGAGTCTCATTAAAATACCACGTCATCAAATAATTTGTGTTTTTTATTACACCAGGATCTAAAGTGACAGATTCTCCCTCCTTCACTGTCTTGGTCTTTGTTTTATCCGTCTCTGTTGAAACAAAGATAATAACGAGAACTTGGAAAGGAAATCATAACAGCTTTGCACAACAAGAAAATACCAGACTCTGAACCAAAATAATTGATGACATTAATACACAAGAAAACAATTAACTAAATCAGACACAAGCAGGTAAGGACAATGAGTAATGACAACTAACTGGTTACTAGAACAAAAGAGAACAGGAAAGAAATGAATAAATGGGAAAACAAGAAAATACAAATTAAAAGTCCCTAAACCACAATCTGAAACCAAAAGTCAAGAGTCACTGCTGTAATAATAAACACATTGTGAATAAGCATGTAGAACCTGAATTTTTAAACATTTATTATAAGACTCACCCTGGACAGTGACTCGAAAGATCTTTTCGCTCATGCTGTCGCTGCCGATGATCTGTAGCTTATAATCTCCAGAGTCTGTGGTTGTGATGTTTGTGATGGTCAGAGATCCAGTCTGATTGTCCAGCTTCAGTCTGTCTCTGAATCTCTCAGTATCTTCATTACACTGAACATCTGTGCAGGTCTTACTGAGATAGTCACTGATTTGAGCAATGCGAATGTCATTAAAAAAACATTTAATCTTTTCTTGCTGGTTTGTTTCAACATCATTGTGTAGAGTGACTGAATCTCCCACCATCACAAACACTAAAACACTGTCTGCAACCACACTTGATGCACCTGGAGAAGAAATTAAATGTTCTTTAGAAAGCATATGCAACAAGCACCGTGTATTTCCCCCCTGCAAAGTTCTAATTTTTAAATGTATGTTATGTAAGCCTTTGTCAAAGACAATTTTTTATGAACAAACCATTTGCTTAAATTGCAAAACATGTACAACATCAAAGCTTCAGTAACATGTCTAGAAGGCATTGCACGGGGTGAGGAGGATCCAGGAAGGATACAAACAAACCAAAAAAGGAACAGAAAATAAACCACAATTAAGAAAAAAAAAAGAAAGAAAGAAAAAAAACAACATGATTACCATCCTGAATAAAAAAGTGCACAAGAAGGACAATTTTCTCTATTGTCCCTCTTAAAAGCTTAAGTAATTATCTCTATAATGCCTCAAAAACCATTAGTCATTTGTAGTCCACAGAGATATGGTTTGCAGTTCTTAGGGGAAATTAACCAATTCATTCTTTATAGTTGTCTCTGCAAAATAAGCTGGGACAGAATTAGGTATTTGAACACAGAAAAAATACTTTAACTGCTTATGTTCACTGTGTTTACATGAATTTTAGGTCCGGCATTTTGAATGTTTAGTTTGTATTTTGACCATTTGGGCATGTCCCCAAAAATACAGTGCGAAAACATAAAGGAGCCCAAGAAGGCAAGCATGGCTCGCTGTATTCTGTGCTGCACATCCAACCCCGAGCACATCCAAGTGTGATGTCAGAAGCCACGTCTGTGTCCAATACATCACCTTGTGATTCCCCATCCCCATTCCGGGGAAACCCAGAAGTATGTTAAAGCAATTATGGCAGTTTCGGGGATCTGAGTAAAATAATGTTATCTTTCATTTCACTAATAAATGTGTTTTTATGTTTGTAAAGGATGGTTAGGCTAAAATGGCACAAACTAAATCCATCATCACTTCATCATTTGGCATTTTTATATTTATTATTTTACAAAAATAATTATATTTATAATTATACAAAAATACATTTGTTCAATATCATGAAGTCAGACGAACAGTTCTTGTTATGCAGTAGGCTACACATAGATATACTGCATAGAGAGATTCCTTGCTCTGATAGATTATTCATGGAGCATGGCATGCCCTTCAAGTCTTGTTCATCAAGAGAATTTGATCTGAATGTGTACAGGTCCTCCGTATGCTCAAAGAAGAATAAAAAAAGACATCTTGCTTCATCTGATTCTCTGCACTGGTGAAACTGCAGCAAGGATATTCGAACCTCCCATCCCAGCAGAACTTCTCTGCATCAGGCTTGGACCGAAAATGTGTAGGATGCTGTAAAACATAACAAATCAACATTGACAAAAAATGACAAACATTATGTGAGAAGGCTACAAAGGTGATCTGTCACATACACAAAGTTATCAAGTAAGACAGTAAAATTATGTTTGTTTTTTTAACTTTAAACCGCATAAACACATTTCATTACACCAAATACACAAAATAATGTTATTTTTAGCAGCATCATATGACCCCTTTAAATTTGTCAACGTTTTAAGTCTTGGTAAAGACCAAAGATTTTTTACTTACAGACAGGGCAATTTCTTATTCTTTTTTGGCGATAAGCAAATCGAGTGTCGGCCATTTTGTAGTGCTGTCCGAATTCATTTCCTACATTCGTCCACTACTTTTTACCCACAGTTCATTCTGATTTCGAGTGTACAACCGACCGCAATAACTCAGTTTAATATTTTACTAATTTACTGAGGTGGCATCGTTGTTAACTTACAAAAATGATGATAATTTGGTGGATAATTTAAAAATGTTCGTTAATCACAGTAACGTTAGGTGTATTCAGTCTGATGTAAAATTAACGGTCGCCTGAGGGCGCTCTACGACCATTATCTTATCAGAGCTCAAAACGCTGCTCGGGAAAGTGTCAAGATACTAAAAATAATAAATAGGCCTACATAAAATTATGAACGTGTTAATGTGTGTTTATTTTTGTTCTTGTTAACTTTTTTTGTATTTTAATAGTATTTAATGATTATGAAACATAAAAGCATTACAAACAGCAAAAGAAAAACTCCACGATAGTGTTTTCATGACTTTCAATAAAAGGAAAAAAATTGAGAGAGACTGATAACGGCAGTCAGAAGAGAGAACGATGTCAAATTTACCATCCCTCATAGACGCTGCATTAGAAACACTCTCGCATTAGCATAAACTCGTTTTTTTTTTTTTTTGATGCAAAGGTGATATAATACAAATAATTGTGTTATAAATGTACATACGTTTTTTTTAAAATTACAAATATGAAAAACTTTCGAGGTTTTACGATGCTGATGACCGTTAAACGCGTCATCAGTCTTGTGAAAAGGGTGCATGAATATTCCCAAACACTATGACAGTGCGATCTCTGTGTGAGATATGTGATTGCTGTCATATTTCTATAAAAATCCAAAATACGTGTTTGTATTAAAGTACAAATAGATGATAAATACACCTTTCGTATGGAATTAAATAGCACACACTTCGAGTGTCTTACATTTCGTAAAATGCAGTGAAGTATTTGTTTTCTCATTTACAGTGTACCAAATGTAGGCTACTTTTAAACTTTTGTCCATACAATTTTGTTCAATCCAAAATTGCACTTATTACAGGAACACTTCCATGCTTGTGTGTGTGGTCTTCAGTGTTGGGAGTAACGCATTACAAAAGTAATAATATTACAGTAGTATATTACTTTTTGCTGTAACGCAGTAATATAACGCATTACTAATAAAATTTGGGTAATATTATTACTCGTTACAATCCCAGTAACGCAAGTTACAACAACATATTTTAACTCAAAATTAAGTGGTGAATTTACCAACACAGCAAAACAGCACCAGAGAAAAAATTCCGCGGGTAAAATAGTTCGTCTATTTCCTGTTGCTGGAATTAGATGGTTGAGATGACTGCAGAGACGGATTCTACATTTGTGAGATGGACACACTCCTGTTATTTTCAGTTCATCGGAGAAAAGGATAAGAATGCATGGTGCAATATGTGCGAAACCAAACTCCCAACATGGAGAAATAGCACGAGTAAAACCTGGAAACACCTAGACTGGTGCCACTAACACTAAGCTATCGGAGAGAGAGCTGCGGGGTCGGAGAAGAGAAAAAGACGGCGGACGAGCGCAGACAAGCAACAAAAATTACGTTTAACTAAAAATAACAAAATCTGTTTTTATTAAATCATAGCCTATATATAAAATGAATGAATATGCGAAATATTTGACTTAAATAGCCTAATTAACAGATTAACAAAACGAAAGGAAAAGACTGAGAGATATAGGCTATGTTGCTGAGTTTGGTTCATATGCTATTTGTGTGGCGCGGCGCTAAGGAGCGTGAACTGAAATTCTCAGTTCCACCTGGTTCCACGCGCATGTCCGGGAAACTTATGAATATTCATGTATGCTCCGCCCACTGAAACAGAAAATCTCGTAACACCGGACGTAACTCTGAAACAAAACAAAAACAACTGCAGGCTGCAGTGAAATAGAACCAGATCTCTTTCGCAGTTGAATATGCTTTTAATGATGATCATGAGCGGCTGAGCAACATTTTTTTAATGGGTCAAGGATCCAACTGTTAAATTGACATGGACATCTTCGTGTTCCTCTTAGAAACGGTCCTTTGCTTTAAAGTTTAAAACAAATCTTATGATTATACCTCTCTTCAGGGGAAAAAAAAACCTTTTAATATTCTCTTTCTGTGTAATTCATCACATCTGTTACAGCACTGCAACCATACTTTATAGGCCATTAGACATCTCTACCAAGTTACAACACTAATGATTACCCAACGATAAGACACTGGTTTTATGGTAAGCTATGACAGCTAAAAAAAAAAAAAAAAATTAATTAAAATAATAGCAATAATAATAATAATAATGAATGTGTTGTAACCAGCATGGCTAATTTACTATTATTTTTTTTACCAAATTGAAAATATATTTGATTAAACCCTCCAATGCCAAAATATAGTACGAAATGTACTTCAAGAGGCAAGAAAATACATTTTGGGTAAATGCAAAATGCAAATATAAATTATATTATTCTTATAGACATTATATTATTATATTATAGACAAATATGTTTATATGTAAATATGTTTATGACTGATGATGAAATATGAGGAAACTACTAAAAAGACTTACAAGAACTAAAAATAATTAAAAATACATTTAAATTTATTTATTAATTTAATCAATATTTTGTATGTTTAGATATACTGTATATATAAAATATACCTAAAACACATATTTTTGCTGTTCAATAAGACTCTATATGTCTATATGACGAACAAAGAGCAGAAGAATTATCTACTGAAGGAGATTTTTTTCCTCACTAGATTTATTCCCAGCATCTTTTCAAGAACAACAGAGATGATAAGGAAAAAAACAGAGGTTCAACCTCTAAGAGAAGAACAGGGTGTTCCTGGGTATAATGCCTCAATTCTGTTCTGGCACAGAGCACCTGCATCTCAGTCAGTGTTCCCACAGAACACACAAGAAAAAACACAGACCATCCGCACTCTAATGTTTCCACCTGGTATGCCATGCATGCTGTTCTCACTTGACTGAGAAACAGCCACACATGCCAAGACTGTATCAAACATGTGCACATTATGTGATGAAAGGGTTTATGTCTATGTATATAGGACCACAACAAAAAGGAAAAGTGAGCCCTAGATTGGTCAGAATGTCAAAAGTGAGAAAGGGGTGAGAGGACACATGCAGAAAACTATGTAAAGATCTCAGGAAATGATGAGGCTGTCATTCCAAAAACATTACTGCCCATTTATGACTAGTGCAATGGAATTCCAGATTTAATCACTTTACTTGACATATTCCTCTTCATTTCCTTCAGTGCTTACAGGGATTTTACTAAGCAGGACATATTCCTGCATCAACATTCTTTTTGGTCCTGGAACAACATTCCTATCAAGCAATCA